GTCCGGTCTACTCTCTTGTATGAGGTCGTAAATGAGGGGAGCCTTATGTACCACAGACCTTGGCGTTAAGCGACACCAGTCAGAGACCAGAGTCCTGTAATCCCGAGCATCCAGGAGTGTAAGAAGGGTGATGAGGGTTGGAACGTGCAATCGCTCTTAAACAGTGAACCCACATCCCCCAAACATAATTTGGCCCTCGGCCCCCACCATAGCTGCCTCTCCCACAAACAGTAGAGATGGTAAACCCCCCAATGGAATGGCTTAATGTCTCCCCCGGAATCCCAACCCTTCCCAGCACTCCCGACCCGCATCCCTTAGTTAACTCTGGCCTGTGCCCTGGCAGACTCCCCCCCAAACCTGTCTGAGCCATCCAAATCAACCCCCCTGCTCCCCCCCTTAAAAATTTGATTTAAACACCCCTGTAAAAAAAAACTAAGAAGTCTCTTCTTCGCATGCCGCCTCTCGGGATCCCAAGATCTGTCATTAAGGAAGCATCTTGATAGTCAAGAAGGCCATCCCCAGGAAAGGGGGAGTTCCCGAAGGGAATAAAGTTCTGTCGCAGTATAACATAGAGGAGAGTGTGGCATCAACCAGACGGGATGATATCACGGGGAGATGGAACGAGAAGATGACATGTCCATGGGAGGGGGGCAGCCGACAGTGTTCAGGGGGGGTAGCGGGAAGCTTATGTCTATCATAATAATGGTCAGTGTTAAGGATAATATGTAAGAGTAGCAGCCAGATGTCAAAAACGCAGCAGATGATGAATTGCGAGGTGGTGAAGCGGCCAGTAATGGCGGTGATGAGGACAGCAGTGGCAGTAGCGGCTGTTCCAACACATTCTCTGCCACACATTCACGATGGGCAGGGTGCAGGCGGCAGACGCACATGCATGCATGGGGTGGGGGGACCCTCGTGCATGCATAGGGACAAGGGGAGTGCAAGGACAGAGCCCCCCCCATGGTCCATTTTTGGTCCAAGGAGGTTGTAGGGAGGCCTAGTAGGCCCAAAATCAGGTGGGGGGGTCACGTGTGCATGCACAGGAGAGGAGGGGGACCAAAGGGGGGGGCACATGCATATGCGCAGGGCGGCACACGGGGGTGTCATGCACCCATTGTGTTATGGGTGCAGGGGGCACGCGCTTTCAGCACACGACAACAAAAAGATTAGCCATCACTGATCTAGATGAAATGTCAGTATATATTACTAGTCCACCTATGATATGCCATATGCTAAATAAATAATTTCATAATCATAATAAAGGTGGGTTCCTTTCCCCCCCCCCAAGTCATTTCAATACGTACCTGACATTTTCTACAACAAAGTCCATTACTGCATTGAGAGTTAGCAGTTAGAGTGCAGGAACTGCAGCAATCTTCACCTTCAGCATGACATTCCTAGGGAATGGAACCAATGGTGAAACAGCAGTTTGACCGAAACGTGCTGCAGCTTGGCCAGAAAACTGTGGAGATGCTTGCTACTCAAAATTTCACTTGTCTCCCTACTCTGGGCATAATGCACACTTCAGATTACAAAGAAAACAACAGTATTTTGATAGCATGAGGGAGAACGCCAGAAAAGAACTTATAATAATAGGCTTGGAAGGGACTTAGGATGTCCTCTAGTCCAACTGCCTGCTCATTTCAGGAGAACCTATACTATTCCAGATTTCTTTAGGCTTGACGGGATGGATATACATGATCGCAGAAAAAAATAACAGAATAACAGAACAGAATAATAGAGATGGAAGAGACCCAAGATGTCCTCTAGTCCAACACCCCACCTAAGCAAGAGATTCTACACCATTTTGGACAAATGTCTGTCCAATCTCTTCTTAAAAACCTCTTGTGATGTAGCACCCACAACTTCAGGAGATAAGCTGTTCCACTGATTAATTATTTTCATTGTCAAGAAGTTTCTCCTTGGTTCTAGGTTGTGTCTTTTCTTGACACAAGTTTTCATCCATTGCTTTTTGTCCTGCTTTCAGGTGCTTTGAAGAATAGGTTGTGGTATTAGCACTTCACATGATCTTGACTCTATCCATCTGTTAATGCAGCCTATGACTGCATTTTCTTTTCTTTCTTGTTTTGGTGACTTCAGCACACTACTGGCTAATAATTAAGTGGTTGTCCACTGGGATTCCTCGATCCTCTCACAGTTACTACTATTGAGTCAGGTTTCACATATTCTATACCTGCCATTTGGTTTTTCATGCCTAAATGTAAAACATTACTTTTCTCACCACTGAATTTCATTTTGTTAGATAGAGCTCAATGTTCAAGTTTGTCAAGATCCTTCTATATCTTAAGCCTGTCTTCTGGAGTTTTGGCTATTCCTGCCAGCTTGGTGTCATCTGCAAATTACAAGTTCCTCTTCTATCCCTAAATCATTTATGTAGATGTGAATGAGTACTGGACCTAAGACAACCTTAAGGACTATATGTTGAGTGTCATTTGTCAGCCAGTTCTATCTGGTGATGCTCTCTATTCCACATTTTTCTAACTTACAAAGAAATAGGTTGTGGTCTACCTTGTCAAATGCCTTACTGAAATCCAAGTATACTATGTCCACAGTATTTTACTGATCCTTTAATTTAGTCACTTTGTTAAAGAATGAAATAAGTTTTGTTTAGTACATTTGGTTTTTAACAAATCCATGTTGGCCTCTGGTTATAACTTTGCTTGCTTTTAGGTCAGTGTTTCTCAACCTTGGCAACTTGAAGATGTCCGGACTTCAAGTTGCCAAGGTTGAGAAACACTGTTTAAGTGTTCACAAATATGTTGCTTAATTATCTGTTCAGAATATTCCTAAGTACTGATGTCAGGCTGATTGGTCTGTAGTTTCCTAGATCATTTTTTCCCTTTTTTGAGGAAGGAAGCAAAGAAGGAGCACATTGGAGTTAAAGATGGCATTAATTCAATTGTAATTTGTGTAGTATGACTGGATGAAAAGTAATACCCTCACCTCAATAAATTTAATTAGGACCATTGTAGGAAAATAGAAAAATAATGCTTTAAGTGAGTTTTTAATTTTACCTGTGTTTTTTTCTCCACATAAGCAGATTTGTTACACTTCACATTGTTACATTTCTTTCACACTTCTGCAAATGACGGACACGCTTCCTAAAGCTGTCACAAAATGTCTCTGGGCTGTCTCTTTAGCCAGGATCATTCTTTCTAATTTTTCAATTTTTCATCTGTTTCAGTGAAATAAATACCCAGGAAGGGAAAATTTTGTGAAATGAGTGGCACCAAAACTGTATAATACACGGAGTAAAACACTGAGCTCCAGTTTTGCAATTGCTTCTTGGATAATTCATGAGGTATTGGATCTTATATTGTCATACTGCAGCAAAATTTTCTTGTTGCACTTCTGAACTCTTGTTTAAAATTTGCCTCAAAGTCTTTGAGTGTTAAAATGCAGCACTCTTAGTTGATTATCGTACTAGGCAACAATGAAGCCCATCTGAATAATAGCACTTGCACCTCAAAAAAATGACAACTATAAGTTTTCCTATTGAATCCTGTGTTTTGAATTTTTGTTTCCATAGGTGAAGTTTTGTGATAATATTTATTTCACGGCTGATACTTTGCTTCTGGATCATAATGAGGAGTCTATGTTTCATTCACTGTCACAAAGCTGTGAAGAAAATCCTCATTTTGGTTTTTGAAGAATAATTGCTTGCAAATTGCAACTCTTCAAATTTTCCTCTCTACCATTAGAGTGCAAAGAACTCATTTTTCACAAACTATTCAATATTGAAGAACTTATCTAAAACCATTAGAAAGAGCCTCTTAACTAGAATGGAAGAGCTGCCTCTAATTAGCTATGTAATGTTAAATTTACCGATTGAGCGCCACAATCACATTCTTCCCCAGTTTCAACAAAACCATTACCACATTCTGGGGGATCCAGGAGCTACAATACAAAAATAAGAAAGCATTAAAAATGTAACATCTTGCCATGCATGATGACAGATGGTAGAGGATCATTATTTCAATGGCAGAAAAGATGTACTGTAGATATAATTATAGAAATGGGTGCTATACACCTCCCTGTATACAAGTCTTGATTTTCACATTTTCATTTAATGACGAAAATTTTTCCAGGACCACAATAAGCCATTGCACCCTGCTATAGTAACACAAAAATGTTTTTTTTTTAAAAAAAAAATCAGGCTTAGTATGTAGTGTTTCAAGGATGGAAGTCTATGATATTCAAAAATTATTGCAAGAATTAGAATAAAAATTAAGAAAGAATATCAGTAATTGCCAAGTATAATATCCAGGTCCATATTTATAGTGAAGCTTTATTTTTATATGTACATCTGGTATAAAAACCTCCTATTTCTGAGTTGAAGATTTTACTTTGTTAGTCTGGTTTTAGTGTATCTGCTTCTGTATTTTTAAATATTAGTCCTCACATGTTAGCTGTGGATTCTTAGTAGGAGAACTGATTGAAATTAAAGGTTTTTTTCTGTGACCAATTACTATTTTTGGATAGCTACATCATTTAGAGATGAAATGCCATTCTTGATCAAAATAATTTGGGCATCTTGATTTCTAAAATGCTTAGGAAAATCACTAATAATAATAATCTGGCTGACTGTGAAATCAACCATAATAAGCATTATTATAATAACTTCCATATGTTTACTATCAAACACTTCAGTTAAGCATTTCAACACAACTGTCATGAGACTGTTAAATTAAGAACTGAAAGAAAAATTTGCAAACAAAATTATTTTTGTTTTTACCTTGGAAGGCTTGTTGTAAAGGCAGGCTCCACCACCATTATTTAAAAATTCATGGTATTCCTCAATATCACATTTGGAGAACTTAGTTGGAAGATAATAACTGTGATCCAAAAATAAAAAAAAGTCAGTTCATTTCTACAAAATTAAAAAGAAATTTCATTCTGCAGCTGGGCCACTAAGTTATTTCATGACCAAATATAAAAAAAAAATAGGAAAACTATCCGTAACTCTGAATTTTCTGGAATAGTAGGCTAGATCATTTTAATTGAGCTCTTCTTTTCTCTACATTCATACCTGCAAATTACATAATACATTTAAAAACATGTTTAAGTTGATGCAGAATGCAGTTGCAATCTTCAACTTGGGCTTTATTAATGCACAATTCTCTAAACTTTATACAAAAATATTCAAAGTTATACAGCAAATACAATATAGGCTTTCACCTGCCACTAAGCTATATGAAACAAGTGTTATGAATGCAAGTGTTCAGTCAAACATCCTTGACCATATGTTATTTTCTTGATATAGAATTGCAGCCTAAACTTGCATTGTATTTTTCTCTGGGAGAACTATGAATACTGACAACATTGAGAACGTTTTGGGGAATACTTGTTTCTAGGCTAGACTCCTCAGTATCTGACAACAATCGTGACATGTCCTTTATAAGTCAAAGACTTTGTAGAAAGGGTATTTTTTCATATGCTGGGACCAGTAGTCAGGGTAGTATATTATCTTCTGAGAATACATCATATTATTCACCAGCCAGAGAGATTTTTAATCCAGAGAGCTTCATATGTCTTCCAGATTCAGATCTATACTGCTTCTGGAGTAGCCCTGAATCTGGAGGTTTCACCACTTAATTGTAATTAATATCTGTTAAGCAGCCTATGCACCATAAATTTGTCTAAATTCTTTTCAAATTGTCTATCAGGAACCAAGGTGCAAATCTCTAAGGAATTGTAGTCAACATATCTCTCTCCAGATGATGAGGAATTACTATACATATTCTTAGGACTGGAGATGTCAGGAATTATATCTAGAATAATATAGATTAATATATTCTTTTCTGAATGTAACAAATAATCAATCCTTGGAATTCATAATCATCTGTACAAATATGATTCTAAAACTGTAAATGTAAAATATTTATATTTGTTGTTTTCAAATCTCCCTTGACTTCTGGAGAGTCCACACAGTTTTCACAGCAACATTGTTATGGAAATGGAAATTGTTTTCTCTGATTTCTTCTTTTTCTTTGAAGAAATTGACTGGGTCAAAATCACCCAATGGGCTTAGTAGTCCCTAAGGTAGAACTAGAATTCATTGCCTCCCACGTTCTAGACTGATGGTTTAACCACTACGCAAAACTGGCTCTGAAGCTAATTAACTATGCATTAATTCACTAATTGGTACATCAGTGTCAATTGAGTCATATGTATATCATTTTTCTGTTAACAGCTTTAAGCAGCCACAGGTTTTCATCTATTACCTATCTGAAAATTTACATTTCTATTGCATAGAAATATCTGAAAGAAAACCTCTCACCCTGTGTCTCCCATTATACATCCGGACCATGTATCCTCACATTTACATTCACCTAAAATAAATAAAATAGGCAATTCACATTACAATATAAAAGTGAGCAATCACATGTTATATTAAATAAGGAACTATAATTAAATAAAATACATCATGCAAGCTTGCAGCAGGTAATTGTATACCTCTCTGTTTTAATAGAAAATGAAGCAGTGTGTTATCACAAATTTGTTACTATTTAAATTTGGCACAACTTCCTATTTTGTCATAAAGTGCCATCTTTTGAAAGATGAACTTGAAAGCTTGCATTCCTTGTCACAGCATCTGCCCTCTGGAAATGAGCTCCCCTAAAATCTTTGGGGGTCCCACCCTGTTGGTATTCTGGAAGTAAGGGACAAAAGCCTGGTTATTGTCCCAACCTTTGGACTAAAACGGATGAAACCCTTGCTTGATGTGTGTGTATTTTTGTATAGACTGAATGGATATCCTCTTGTTTTGTTTTGTGTTCTGTTTTTTACAGTTTGTTACATAGATAGTCCTCAACTTACAACATTCATTTACTAACTGTTCAAAGTTACAAGGGCACAGAAAAAATGTGATTTATGACAGTTTTTCACATTTATGATTATTGTAGCATCCCCAGGGTCACATGACCAAAATTCAGCCGCTTGACAAATGACTCATATTTATAATGGGTTGCGGTGTCCTTGGGTCATTTGATCTACTTTTGTGACCTTCTGACAAGCAAAATCAACAGGAAAGCCAGGTTTACTTAACAACTATATTACTAACAACAACTGCAGAAATTCACTGAACAACTATGGCAGGAATGGTTGTAACATGGGACAAAATTTACTTAATAGATGTCTCACTTAGCAATGGAAATTTTGAAGACATTTATGGTCAAGTCAAGGACTACCTAGAATACAACATTTACCATTATACATGGTTTATTTTAAATGTTTGTTCCAAAAAAATAAATACATGTATTCAGTATATCATAATGCAATATAAGTGTATCACAATAGCTACATCTCATGTCTTATACAATCAGTATACAAAGGATAAAGTGTTTTCCCTCAAAATGTTCTGACCTAGGCTTCCCAAGCAATTCTTCCCATGAAGCAATTCTTTATCCCAAGAAACACCCCTTTTATTAATTTACTGTGAATTCTGCTCTTTCACAACCAGCAAAGTCTTTCAAGGGAGGATTTGCATTCACAGACCTTATCTGGCTTGGAAAGTTGACTGGCCGATATCTGCAAAACTTGGCAAAGAGTCTCTGAAAGTCACAAACCAATTAAGCGAACTAATTGTCTCCTGCAAACTGCACTCCCCATTCGCTCCTCTTTTATTTCCTCTCATCCACCTGTGGCCTTACTCCCAAGTCAACCCCTGTTCTTTAGCTGTTTTCTTTGTCTGGCACCTCTGTGCATGTGCACACTGGGAATAGGTTCCAGCTATTCATCTGTCTCACTGATGTCTGACTCTGAAGGCAGCTGGTAACTGGCATTCGGCTCTAGCATATGGCTGTCTGTCTCTGATACAGAGCCCTCATCAGAGTCTTCTCCAGACTCCAGGACTGGTCCATGTTCCTCCCCAACCTCCTCCTTTTTTGAATCTGCTGGCAGCTGGCAGGCCACAATACAAAATAGATTATTGTTATTTTTGTTGTGATCTGATAAATTGATTAGGATGTCAACCTCCCTTTAGTCCTTTAAGAAGTTGAAGGAATCTGAAAGATTCCTTTCAGATTTTTCAAGGCAGAGTAGAAATTATTCTCAAACTCTTTTTGTTTTTGCAAAACCAGTATAAATAATTGACATGGGGTCAATTTGAAAACTAACATTGCTGTGACTTAAGCCATATATGATCTCATAACTTTCCAGGAATTTTTTCTCAACATCTTATATAAGGTAAAGGTAAAGGTTCCCCTCACAAATATGTGCTAGTCGTTCCCAACTAGGAGGCGGTGCTTATCTCCATTTCAAAGCCGAATAGTCAGCGCTGTCCGTCTCCAAGGTCATGTGGCTAGCATGTCTAAATGCTGAAGGCGCACAGAACGCTGTTACCTTCCCACCAAAGGTGGTCCCTATTTTTAAATTTGCATTTTCCATGCTTTCAAATTGCTAGGTTGGAGGAAGCTGGGAAAAGTAATGAAAGCTCACTCTGTTATATGGCGCTAGGCATTTGAACCACCAAACTGTCAACCTTTCTGATCGACAAGCTCAGCATCTTAGCCATCGAGCCACCAAGTCCCTATATCTTATATAGGCAATGCTATATTTGTATTTAATGTTTAAATGTATGCACTTTTTAGATTTTCAATTAAGGCAAATTGGAATTAAAAAGTGCTAAAAAATCTTAAGACTGTGATACAAGCTGGACAGAATTTCAGTTCTGTGACTATTTTTAAGGTTCTTTTTCAGTTAATTCAACTGGATTCCTACAGACGTTGCAAGCAATCTTATTTTAAAAAGTCATATGTAATTACCAAAGCTAACAATGGCTCTGTTGGAATAAAAAGTATGAGAATTTATTCACCAGAAAAAAGAATCTGTATTGAAACCTCAACATTTCTTACCACTTTGCAACCTTCTTTTGTCTGAGAAGATCCCAAGATTGTGTGCCAATGACTGTGCCAATGTAACAGCCATTAAATCTGGCTTTCCAAACTGAAAAACAAGACAATGACTTTAAAGCATTTCCATTTTAGAAATTTTAAATTAGCAAAACATATTGAACCATCCTAGGGCATTTATTCCCCAAAGTATGCTTTGAAATGCAGATGAGTAAATAAACTAGCAAAAATTTGCAAAGCACTGTTTAAAACAATAAAAACAAAGACAGATGAAATATTAAGCATAAGTTTGGCTCAGAGCCAAACATATTCATTATGTTGTATAAACTTTCTTTTAAATGCCCTGTATGCTTGCAATAACCTATTTGAGTTAGGCAATTAAGTTTTTACTATGTGATTGAGTTAACTCTACTGCTAGATAAGTCCCCTAACCATAATTCTTAGTCACTCATTGTTATGATTATTTATTATATTTATTTGATTGTGAGGGGTCTCAATTCTCAGGAACTCTTGTGTAGCTTACAATTTAAAAATAAAATGAAAAATATATATGAAAAAACAAACTTGAATGGTCTAGAACATCTTGCTATAGCCAACTCTCCACAGCCAACTCACTGTGACCAACTCGCTACAGCCAACTTGCCACAGGGCAACTCATCACAGCTGACTTGCCATAGGGCAACCTGCCATGGGACATTTCAACAGTGTATTCTTTTTTCATTCAGTTACTTTTATTATTAGTTTTCATTGAAATTATTGTAACTCTTGAATTTCTGGATTGACTTTCTTTATTGTATTACTATTGGGCATAGTTCCATGAAAATTAATTTAACTTCTGTATTTGTTGAATTGTCCCATGATGAGTTGTCTCGCAGCATGTTCGCTACGACAAGTTGTCCTATTCCAAACTAGACGGATAATTAAAGCTCCATATACAGTACCTACTATTTGGGGTGAAATAAGAAGCTTTAACAAAAACCATTGGTAAAGTTGTCTCTATCCAATAAAATAAAATAAATTGAATCAAACTAAAAAAAATAACATAAAATGCTAATCAGGTTCATGTTAAGAGGCAAAATGTTTAAGCCTTCCATCCTCAGTCAGTTGGGTAAATAAAATATACACATTTCTGCAAATGGAAGTAGCATTCCCTTCCTTCAAAAATAAATTTTAAAATATTATGTTGTAGCCTAAATTGCATATACTATGAAATTTTTCAGATCACAGATGAGCAGTTGAGATTTTTCCTATTTAAGGAGTCCCAAACATTTAAAGGAAAGACCTAGCCAATGGTTGCTTTTCCTTGGAAACAACATAAAGCAGGAACTTGATGCAAAATATGAATAAAAGCAGAAGTAGAAATAATTTGACAATTATGGGACTATCATTTTGTGTTTGTAGTATAATGCCGACATACTTCATTTACACCACCACCTTTCAGCAGTGAACAAATGCCGCCAATAAAGGCTGCCCCGCTACGGCTACTGAGAAACTGGCTTCCCCTTTTAAAACAAAACAGAAACAGCAATACAGTTAATAAAATCCATCGCATTTGGGGAACTACAATACATTTTCAACCAAAAAAAATAAAATGTAGGGGTATTCATGATAGAAAGAGTTATAACAAGAAAAGATTCAGCAATTTAATATTTCTCCACTCAAAAATTCCTAAACATTGAACAGGATGTGTGTGCGTGTGTGAGCGCGCGCAAGAAATATGTTTTTATAGACTGTGCCAAAATAATGTTTTCTGTATAGAATACAGTTCCATTAGAATGATCTGCACAAATTTAACTTGTATGAACCAGATATTTGAAAATGAAAAAACAAAGCTACCTTAAGGGCACTATATCTTCTTTTAATTTAAAAACTAACAATTGAAAAACACAGTTATCATTTGGAAAGTAAAAAAGTAAGCATTTTGTAGTCCTAACAATGTTATCCTGGGCCAAAATTTTTGAGGATCTAATTGGACTGCAAAATTCTGGGACAGAATTCCAAAATAATAGCAATAGCAATAGCAGTAGACTTATATACCGCTTCATAGGGCTTTCAGCCCTCTCTAAGCGGTTTACAGAGAGTCAGCATATTGCCCCCAACAATCTGGGTCCTCATTTTATCAACCTCGGAAGGATGGAAGGATGAGTTAACCTCAATCATTAATGTCTGGGCAATGCAATCCCCACACATCTCGGTGGCTCTAGATGATAGGGAGGGCTGATTTTCAGAAAGTTTCTCATTTCACCTTGTCACTTTTGCATTATGTAGTATTTTATGTGAAGATTGTGGTAAGCATGATAAAACAACTTGCACTACAATATGAATGCTTATATGTCTTAAAACTTGTGTGGGGAAAAAATTAGAAAATTAGTACAATTAGTACAATCTGAGATGAAATAGTGACATAACTGGATGGAAAACCACTAGACTAGAGCTCTAGAGTGGACAAGAAAATTGAAAAATACATGGCAAACCAGTTCCATAATGTTGTTAAGAAGACAAGACATATCCATGTAGTCATCAGGAGTTAAGGACAACTGTAAAGGCACCAATATACCACTGGAGACAATATTCTGTTTAAACTAGGGGAGAGGAATGTGGAGCTCCTCAGATTCCATTTTTCATGATATTCCAAACACATTCATTCAGTGAAATGTTAATATGAGCAACATAGTTTCCTGTCATGCTCCGCCATGACATTACCAAATTATATCACAAGCCTTAAAATATAGAGTTTTTTGGGGGGATTTACCCACACAAAAAATAAGAAAAATTGAAAATGCTAAAATGCAAATAACAGTGCCATCCGACTTGCCTTTGGTTTTCCAGCCAACACAATGTTGGTGATGCTTACTTTAAGCATCTTAAAACAAAAATGGGATTCAAATGTTTGGAACTTGTGAGAAGAAATGTTTCAATTCCCGCTCTCTTAATCTCTTATAATAACTTTCTCAATACATTTGTGTACAAATATCATTCAATACCAAAAATATCAGTAAAATGAAATACAACTTTATAGCTCTTCTAAATATTCTAAGTAAGTACTGTACATGAAATAAAAACACACATAAACTTCATTAAATTTAACATTAATTAAACTGAAATTGAAATTGCATCAATTTTAGCTTTTTTTCTGATCACCCATTTTTGCCACTGTGTCATCCACTTTTTGAAATTTTGTGCCACACCTCACTCAAACGTCAAGTGGGGGTTTCCAATTTAGCAATAAGGAAACCATAGTTCATCAAATCCCCTTTGGACATTTCAGTATCGTGACAAGAGGGGAAAATTTACATATACATATACATATACATATACATATACATATACATATACATATACATATACATATACATATACATATACATATACATATACATATGTGTGNATATACATATACATATACATATACATATACATATGTGTGTGTGTGTCTTTGGTTATTCGGGTTTTGTCCCGCGTAAAATTAGAAGTGTCTTGGCGACGTTTCGACGAAGTCTCATTCGTCATCTTCAGGATTCGTGCTTCCAGGAGCAATGTGAAATCTCGGCTCCTGGAATCACGAAGCCTGAAGATGACGAATGAGATTTCGTCGAAACGTCGCCAAGACACCTCCAATTTTACTTGAGAAAAACCTGAATAACCAAAGACCTACATATATATATGTAGGTCTATATATATATATTTCAATTAGATATAGATGCTCATTATATCTAAACAAGGTGTACTTCATCTTAACAGTGGCAACAGTGGGGGAATTGTCAACTTCATTTTTATTTTTCTTAAGCCACACTCATAGTTCAATATAAAAGTAAAGCATGTTTAAATAAAGGCACTTGATGTCTTTATGATCACGACAAAGGAACTCTATAACACTAAGCCATACAACCATTTCTATGTCTCAAATTACACTTTCAATAGTTTCCTTCACCTCCAATAATAACCAAACAATACAAAATTACGTACGAAAAAAGATGAACTGCATCACTTTTCTCTTTGATAAAATCTCTCCTATATTTCATAAATTCACGTAGAGTTACCAGTGGATTTTCAGATATGGTGAACTTGTTATCAGTACCCCAGGTTTCCATGGCAACCAAGACTATTCTGGTGTTCAGTTGTTCTTTATAAATCTAGCACATTAGGAAAATGAATGATCATAAAATAATAGTGTCAATATTGTTTTGTTAAGCAATATACAAAAAAGTGACTAAATCCAATACTTACATTAATCACAGTCATATATAGCCTAACACAGATGTGTCCAATCCATGGCATGCAGACTACATGGACAGCTAGTAATGCAGCCCCACAAGATTGTAAACTTTTAATATTATTACGTGATTTATATTCATTAACTAATTTTATAGTTTACATGCATCCTAAAACAATTCCTGTTCAGTTAATGCGACCCAAGCACCCCAAAAGTTTAGACAACCATAGTTTAATATATTAAATTAATTGTGAAAAAGCTAAACTGTTTTAACGTCATTCTTTTGAAAGGTGGAGTGCTTCAGAATTGACTGGAGCTTTGATAGAATGCCAGGTGAAACACATACACAACCAAAAAATACAGCACCTGCCATTCTGCTTCTGTTTTTCATTCATATTTATCTAAGAATCAAGCGAAGTAGAATTACTGAATAATGAATTAACACTTTCTTTTGTCCCCTTTGACTTTAAATTGGCATTCCTTTATTAACATTGCTATACTGTATATATATACACACACACACACACAGAGACACAGACACACACACACACACACACAAACACACACTGACTCTATGACATAGAGTGAGTGAGATAGTGGTTTCTATCTCACTCACAGAGAGGCTGATAAAGAGACACACAGAAATAGTTATAAGTAGATAGAAGATAGATGGATGGATGGATGGATGGATGGATGGATGGATGGATGGATGGATGGATGGATGGATGGGCGGGCGGGCGGGCGGGCGGGCGGGCAGGCAGGCAGGCAGGCAGGCAGGCAGACTTTGAGAATTATACTTACTAAATCTGCCATATTCACTACTGATTTTGCAAAGCTGTTTGTGTGACCAACTGATAATCGATGTTTTTTCAGCTAAAAAAAAACACAGACAAATTCCAAACATCTTTCTGAAACATCATGTGCTTTCAGGAATGACTTCAGCCAAAGATTACCTTTTACTTCAGATATGTGGGTTAAGGGCTACTTATTCAAGTATAAATATATATATATATTAAAATCAATACAGCACTATAAAAATTAAAAATACCAAATGACTTTGTTGTTTGGTGAGCTTCCAGGCAACATAAATTGGTAATACAATATCTGTATACTGTGGGTCAGCTTTTATACACATTGGAGGAGAGAGGTGCCCACAAGATAATGCAAATGTCTACAGAACAACAGCACTTAAAAAAATCCAAATTAGAGGCAATATCTTTATTACGATCAACTTCATAACCACAAGACTATGTGCAAGCATTCAAGCTCTTTTTATATATGCAACCTGACATACATCAAGCTTAAATTGCTGGTAATGAGTATGCTAATGTATAGAGTTAAATTTATTCTGATATCAAAACTGCACTGCTTTTGTTCCTACAGATTTTTCGCCTTTAATTTTTCTTAATAATTATTTATCACAATAGAAAGCTGCAGTACATTTTAAAAAGTAGAACCATATGTGCTATCAGTAGCATATTTAATGTGTTTGGTTTATGAACAGGCTAGACCCGGGATGGTGAACCTATGGCAAGCGTGCCACAGGTAGCATGCGGAGGCATTTGCCAGGGCACGTGAGGTGTTGCCCTGTCAGCTGGCCAGCACGCATGTGCGCACTGGCCAGTTTTCAGTCTTTTTTTAGTCATTTTTCACCCTCCCCAGGCTCTAGAGGCTTTATAGGAACCTGGGGAGGGCAAAAACAGCTCCCCACCACCCCCTGAGGCCCTCCGGAGGCTTTAGGAGTTTCCCTGAAGCCTCCGGGGCGCAAAAAACCAGCCATATGGCAAACCAGAAGTTCAGGAATGGACTTTGCTTGTAGAGCCAGTTTAAGCCCTCCAGAGGCTTCAGGGGCCTTCCGGAGGCTTCCCTGAAGGCTCAGGAGGACAAAAAATGACCCAATGAGCAAACCGGTTTGCTCCTAGGGCTGTTTTTAGTGACTTCCGGTTTGCTCATAGGGTTGTTTTTCATCCTCTGGAGGCTACAGGGAAACGTCCGGAAGGCTCCTGAAGCCTCCGGAGGGCTTCCAGGGGGCGGGGGAGGCTGTTTTCATCTTCCTATAAAGCCTCTGGAGCCTGGGGAGGGCGAAAAAAGCATGAAAAATGGGGGAGCGCCTGTCATGCACGCATGTGTGCTGGGGGTCGCACATTGCATTATGGGTGTGGCACACCTGGGCATGAACCCCCTGCGCTCCCCCTGCTTATGGCACATGAGCCAAAAAAGGTTCACCATCCCTGGGCTAGACTAATGTTCTCTTAAAGTTTAAAAAGTTGGACTATCAGATTGAATTTGGCTATAAAAGTTGCATGGGGTCTGAAAAAGTATTTAATCATTCTTCATTTTCCAAGTTGAAAAAACATTTTTGAAGGCCAGGCAAATCATCCTTCCTTCTGAACTTCTGCAGTATAGGTAATACCCCATTTAACTGATCATCCCTGCCCATGCGGACCCAAGGACACAGAAATGGTTTAGCATGTGCAACAATATATTTGGAGTATCTTATACCTGCTAATCAATAGACAGAAAGAACAAGTCATTGTGTGAACCTCTTTTTCTCAGCTATGAAATTATAATCCATATGGCAGCTATATTCTATGTTTTCACAATAAAAACAAGGTAACAACTGATGCAAGTTTGAATCACATGTCTTTTCTATTTGGTTAATTATTTGTATGGAGCATGCTAGTGGTTCATCAAAATAAAATTGATTGATTGAAACTCCTCTTGTGTGCTCTTAAATATAAATACATATTAATTGTTTTTTTTAAAGACCCAATTGCAACATTAAAAGGAGCGTCAGGGCGCGTGTTATATCTGATACCTTACCAAAACAAAGTGGCCTCAATATTGCTGATTCCAACAACCTGATCAGATGAGAGCTGTATGTGCTCACTGGTCCTCCTTTTACAATCTACATATGTGTCATGTGTCATTTTCTAGATATGACTACTCTTCTGTATTAGATTTTGTCATAACAAAAGCAACACAGAGTTGTTCAGATTATCTCTAAATTTGTACTTGTAAAATGCCAATCTCAGAAGATTCTTTATCTGCATTTCTGGAAACAATTATAAATAATTTAAATTATATGAGGCACCTGTGATACAATCATAATTATAATCTATGTATTCCATATCATATTAATTACTGAAAGAAAAGGTGAAAGGATCATGAGAATAATATTGTAATGCAACAAAAATATAAAATATGGTAGAACATAAGAAATATACAATTGGATAATAAAACACTTGGCTTTTGTAATATTTTGCATTGTTAATGCTGTTTTTATAGCATTTCATTTTCCTTGAGGATTAGACCTTAGATATCCAAAAGAGTACTATTAACACATTGCATCCTCTAGTCTTGTGTACTTGTGATCCAAAATCTAACACAAGTATGTAAGCCATAGACTTATGTCATAGTGTTATAAGCCATGGCTCACCAACCACACACACACACCCCACATAAACACACAATATGCACCACTAGATCTTAATCATTAGATCAAATTGGCTCTATATTATCCTTTGGAAGAGCCTCTTCCAGCTATGGGATCTGTGCTATAGTCCCTTGCCTACCCTTAAAAAGATCCTGATTACGACTCAAGAAGGAAATATGGCAAACTTAAATTAAGCCCAACAATAATTTAAAAGAAAGCATTTGTTAAAGGGAACTGAGTCTTCCATTCTACTAAGGCAGTGTTTTTCAACCACTGTGCCGCGGCACACTAGTGTGCCGTGACATAGTGTAAGGTGTGCCGTGGGAGAATTACTTTATATATAGTC